TCCTCCACAACTAGACTGAAGAACAAAAACGACAGCAATTTGTCTGTCCCCCTTCCCCCAATTCCCCAGCACTGTTCCCATCCCCCCAATTCACCAATAAAAACCTTTAAAAAAAAAAAAAAAGAAATGCTTCTCAGATTGGCAAAAACAAACATGCGATATAACTGCAGATGAAGGTGTAGACAGATAGACACTCTCCGCACTGTATATGTGAAACGTAAGTTGATACAATGTTTGGCAATATTTGTTAAAAAAAAAAAAAAGCATTGACAGTGTACCAGAAACCCAGATGTGGGTCCAAAGATATAACTTTCATTTTAAAGATAGAATATTAGAAGCCACCTAAATCTCCATTGATAGGAGATGAAAACTCCCACTGGAGTTTATTATACAGCTAATAAAAAGAAAGAGGCAACTCCCTTGAAATACACGGGAATGATGATAGTACCTTCCTCACAGGTTAAGATGAAATTAGTAAAATGTGAAGTGCATAGCACAGTGCCTGGCATGCAGCAGGAGCTCAGTAAATGCTGGTTAATAATATATGATATTCATGAAAAAAGCAAGATGTTCAGATAATGTGTGAAACATAGTTCTATTTGCAGTGGCTGGGAGAAAGGATAGACATGTTACCTGCATTGAGCATCAACTGTATGCCAGGCACTGTTGTAAGAGGTTTCTATGTATTATCTCATTCAATTTAACGATCCTATTGTCAAACCACCACCACCCCCCCTCAAAAAAAAGTTTGAGCTCTAATAAAGAATTAAAAGGAGAAGCATCTGAGATCTTGCTCCGCAGCACATGTCGTCAGTTTGGGCTCAGATAAACTCTTACTTACAAAAATTTAAAAAAAAAAAAAAGAATAAAAAGCATTTGAGCAAAAGGAGTTGCAGCCCCAGAGATGCAAATTCAGAGAGCAACCTAAAACGGGGCTCCAGAGAGAACAAAGAAAGCCAGGCTTATAAAGGTAAAAACAAAGTGTACTTCTTTCATGAAAAGGAAGAAAGGATGGCTGGCGAAGTTCACAGGGCTGGGGTAGTTCCAATATGCAAATGAGAGGGACAGAAAAACTCTGAGGAGGAGAGAAAGTCCACATGTGACTCCTGCTGTTGTTCCAGGCGTTTATGGCTGGACTTTGAGCTGAGGTTAGCAATTGATAGCAGCGCTGAAAACCAAGGCTGGAGATGGATCCAGGCCCCACCTCCCTAGGAGGTCCAGATTCTAATTTAAATGACTCTCTTCGCAAAGCTTAGGCCATTGTTTTTCATTATCACTATGATGTAGGTTCTAATTCGATAGGATTTTTATCCCCATCTTAAAGATAAAGAGAAGGAGACCCAGAAAAGGCAAGTTCCCTCAGCTATTCCACAGACAGGCAGAATTTGAACCCGGTTTTAATTTGACCCCCATGTCAGATGACTCCTTACATCATTCCCTAGGCATCACCCTTGAGCACCTGTGGATTGTTTCTGGAAGGATCCACCACAAACTGGTGCCTCCAGTTGTCTCTCGGGGCAGCGAGGAAGAGCCTGAGGCTCTGGGGAGGGCAGGGAGAGTAACTTTTCACTGAATACCCTTTGGTAACTGGCACTATTTTATAGAGAGAAAAAGAAGTCAAGCTCATGGTGGACCCTATTCTGAAGTCCTGTTGGCTCAAGCAGGGTCTCAGAAGTGGGGTGAGGGCAATTAAGCAACGCCAGGCCCCCTCCCTGGTCCAGCCAGCATGGTCTGCCATTTCTCCTCTCACCCATGTGACAATGAGACCATCCGGCACAGCAGGTGCTAAATCAGAGCCTGCTCACCTGGACACGGGCCTCAGGGCACAGGTGTGTGAGGGGGGGGCCTCATGTAGCCTGGACACCCTCTCCCTCTGATGCTCACAGAATCCATGGGACAGTCTGGTTCTGTCACCAACCACTGAAGGACCTGGGCCATCTCTGCTCCTGCCTTAGTTTACCCGTCTCTACAATTCAGAACACTTGACCGACCTGGTGATTTAACTGGACCGTTCTTCCAAACTGGCTTCTTCCCCACCTCCCTACTTTCGCTCCTGCCGTTCCCGCTGCCCAGCTGCGTCCCGGATCTCTCCACTTGAGGAAGGAAGTCATCCTACACCACCCAACACACAAATTTCCTGCCCTGGAGGACCTTTGGATTCCAGCCCATGACCTTGCAGTTGCTCCTTGACAAACTTACTCCTTAACTGCAGCCTAGGAGTGGGACAGTCTGAGATGAGGGCGAGGGAAGAAGGGGGAGGTGGAGGATAGGGAGAAGGAGGAAGGAAAGGGAGGGAAAACGAGAAGGGGAGAGTTGGGGAAGGGAGGGACCCAGAGAGGAGAGGGCGAAGGTAGAGGGTTCTTGCACCCACATCCCTTCTAGACTCACCATCTTCAGTTCTCCTTAGTTCCCGCTTATCAAAGGTCCCTCCAGCCTGAGGGCTGTGGTTTTTAAAGCCCCAAGGGAGGGTGCAGATAACCAGGGAGGAAATGACCCGTCTCTCTCCCCTAAGGCTCTCATTGGTCTGCACACTGGGCATCCTGGCTGGGGCTTCTTCTGTGGGGCACAGAAGGGAGTCGAAGAGGGAGGTCAGGGCTAGGAAAACTGAGGAAGTTCTCTCCTGGTTCAAGGAGGGAGGAAACCAGATGAAAGAGACCCCCCACTCCGATCTAGATTTGGCCCCTCTCTGGGCCTTGGTTTCCCATTTGAGATCATCTTTCTCTTTCTTTCTAGGGCCCCAGGCAGCTGTGGAAAAGCTCAGGGGTCCAACTGGCTTAAGCTCCCCTGGGGTCCTGGGAAATGGGGATGCTAAACCCAACCTCCCAACCAAGTTGCTTGGAGGCCCAGAGAAGCAAAGCAGATGTGTGGACGTGGCCCAGCGCTTGGGGCTTTGAAGTCGGCACCCCACCCCACCCCACCAGCCACAACCATCCTCTCCAGTCTCATTCTGGGTTCTCATGGAAACATGCTGGAGCCTAGATTGAGGAAGGAGCCTAGATTAGTGTCCTACTGTTGCTGTAACAAATTGCCACAAATTGAGTGGCTAAAAACAACAGTAAGGGGGCTGGCCGAGTGGTGCGTTGGTTAGGAGTTGGCTTGGGACGCCAGCTCTGAGCAGCAGCACCCTGATTTGGGTCCCACATGAAGGCCAGTGACGCTGCGCCCTCTACAGCTAAGATGGTGAACAACAGCTCGACCTGGAGCTGGGCTGCCAGTGAGTTGCCTGCGATGGCACAGGCTGCAGTGGGACTGGCCGGCAGCGTGCACTTTCGTGAGCTGCCATGAGCCCCTGTGAGCGGCTGTGCAATGGCCAGCGAGCGACTGCCTCACCTGGGAAGAGCGCAATAATACCAACACAGGCCAGTGAAGCAACGTCCTCCACAACTAGACTGAAGAACGAAAGGACAGCAACTTGTCTGTTGCCCTTCCCCGATTCCCCAACGCTGTTCCCTCTCCCAATTCCCCAATAAAATCTTTAAAAAACAAAAAACAAAAAAACAGTAATGTATCCTCTCATAGCTCTGGAGGCCCGAAGTCCTAAATCAAGGGGTAAACAGGGCCACACGCCCTCTGCAGGCTCTAGAGGAGACTCTGTTCCTGCACTTCCGGCTTCTGGTGGCTGCCAGCATTCCTGGGCTGGTGGCCATCACTCCAATCTCTGCCTCTATGGTCACATGTCCTTCTCTCCTGCTGTGTGTCTCAAATCTCCCCTTGCCTCCCTCACATAAGGACCTTTGTGATTACATTTAGTGTCCCCCTGGAGAATCCAGGATCATCTCCCATCGAAAGATCCTTAATTTGTCTGCAAATCCCCTTCTGCTACATAAGGTCATGCCACAGGTTCCAGGAATTAGGATGCGGACATCGCCAGGACCCATTCTTCAGCCCACCACAATGAGAGCGATTACGATGATGAGTACAGACTCGGGCTCATTTTCCCACTCAGTTCTGCACTTCTACAACCTGTCACCCACCTCCTTCCTTCACAAATAGTATTTTTCTACAGCAACCTTCGATTTGGAACGGTCAAGCTTTCTTTTCATTTCAAAAGTAATCCCTGTACGTTGCAAACATTTGAACAATCCAGAAATGCACTCCCCCACAAAAAAAAAAGTGGGCTTTAATTTAAATAAGACAATCTTATTTATTATTGTTTAAATAAGAAATTTAGCAGAGGAACATGTATGAGAGAAGAAGGATGTGCTAATGATTTTCTTCTGGTTTACTAAAGAAAATTCACTACATACTTACATTTTTTAGAAGACAGGGATGTCAATTCAAATAATAATATTTATTAAGTTAGACAAGTATGAAACACAGGGACAACTCACAAGACCACCCTCACTTCTAACACCAACTGAAAAATTGGGGGCATTTCAAAGCCACCCTCACTCTGACACCAACTGCAAGTTTGAGGGTCCCCAAGACAACCCTCGGGTTTGATCATTTGCTAAGATTCCCAGAACTGTCTGAAAGCTATTATGCTCATGGTTACAGTTTATTACATTAAAAAGACAGAGATTAAAATCAGGCGAGGGAGGTGATGCATGGGGCAGCATCCAGGAGAGGTCTATGCCCATAGCTTCCAGTTGTCCTCTCCCGGAGAAGTCACAATTGCTCTTCCTCAGCAACAATGTGTGACAATACAGATGCAGCACTGCCAACCAGAAAGCTCAGCCCGGCTTTGGTGAGTCTTTTTGCTGGGACTTGGTCACGTAGACCTGGTTGGTAACCAACGTGGTAATCTTGGTCTCCAGCACCTCCAGAGGTCTAGCTGATACCTCATGACCCAAAGCCATCACCCTAAGTCACACTGTTAGACTATCATAAGTGGTCCAAAGCAGGATATTCCGAGGGCTTAGGATTACCTCCCAGGGGCCGAGGGCAAAAGCCAGAACTCTCTTTGGGCAAGGTTAAATTTTTTATTACACAACAACCAATCATAAGGACAGACTTTTCAGGGTTTAAAAGTTACCTACATAGGACATAACAACTAAATCTGAAGTTTAGATACCTTGTAAGATCCCTTTGTTAGAAATATTTACAGGGGATTTTTATGATACAGAATCATGTCTGTTTTCCTGAAATTGTGGAAGAAGAGGGAAAAGCTTTCTTTCTTATCTTGCTGAAATTTGTTTTCACCAGGAGTTAGAAAGAACTAAAGTTTCAAAATAATCGAAATGGGGTTCTTTCAGCTAGCACTAAGAGAACAACAACAACAACAACAAAATTGGTAGGGCTGACAACCCACAGAGTGAGAGAAGATACATTAGCAAAGAATTTGTACCTAGACTCTATAAAGAATTCTTACAAATCATAAGGAAAAGATTACCCAATAGAACAATGGGCCAAAGGTTTGACCAGGCACTTCATAAACAAGGACATCCAAACAGCCAATCAACACAAAGAAAGGTGCTGATGACCTTATTGGTCAACAGGGAAACACAAATTAAACACAATTTGGTTCTGCTATACATGTACCAGAAAGGCTAAGATGAAAAAGAAGGAAAATATGGAGTGCTGATGACCCTGTGGAGCAAGCTGAACTCTCATACACAACTGGAGAGAGTGAAAAATGGTGCAACCACTTTCAGAAACTGTCGGATGGTAGCTACATGTGTCAACGAAACACACACCTAAACTTTGACCCAGAAATCCCACTCCTAAGTACTTACCCAACAGAAAACAAGCATGTGTCAGCAAAAGAATGTGCTAGAATATTCATAGCAGCTTTATTCATAAAAACCAACAACTGGAAGCCAACCAAAAGTCCATCAGCAGTAGAATGGATAAAGAAATTGTATATTCATATAATGGAATACTATATAGCAGTAAGAAGAATGCAAAAACTAATAGTACAATAAAATAACAGATACATGCAACAAACAACATGGCTGAATCTCAAAGCCATTCTGTTGAGTGAAAGAAGCAGACACTAGACATACATACTGTATAATTCTGTTATATGAAGTTCAAGGACAGACAAAAGTAGATTTTGCTATTATAATCCAGGATAGAGGTTATTTTGAAGGGGTAGAAACTGTGAGGGGATTGGGGCAGGGGATGGGGGGCTGGAAACATTATTTTCCTTGATCTAGATGTTGATTACAGGGACACTCAGCTGTGAAAATTCATTATGCTATACCTTTATGATTTGTGAACTTTGTGTATTTTATGTCAACAAAAGTTGTTGTTTTTTATGTAGGCCTGAGAGGCTTAAAATTTACACAATGGAAAGGAAAGGGGCAGAAAAGGATTATGTGGCATAGGGCACCCATGGTGTTTTGTAACCACAGCTCCTAGCACCAGGCACAGCCTAACCCCATCTGGAAGAACTGGGCTGAGCAGGTGGCTGCAACTATCACACCTTAAAGAGAAGCAGCTGTGGCCAGCCACCTTGCCGGCTGTCACAGGAAGCCCAGAGACAGTCAGATGTTAGCCATCTATGCTGAGGCGCCTCAGGTGTGGCCACAGTGGCTTCTGAGGCAGGATGTGGTGGCCCATCAGCTGCCATGCTTGGACCCACACAGCCTTCCGACCCTGGCCGGGCTGACTCACCAGAGCTTCCGCCACCAGCTGAACCTGAGAACCAGGCAGTGCAGTAAGCACCAGGGAGAGGCTTGGAGGAAGGAGCTGCAGGATGCATCTGGAAGGTTGCCAGAAAACACCACCACCAGCAATAATAATAATAATAATAATAATAATAATAATTAATAATAATAATAAAAAATAGCAGTCAACACTCGCTGAACCATTGCCCGGTGCCAGGTGCAGCTCCACTCACTTCACAATAACTGAAGCCGTTTAAGATGAGAAGTGTTAACCCTGACAGAACTTAGAATGGGAGTTTATAGTATTACTACTCTGAAAATTCTAGAAGTTTCTAATTCTAATGCTGTAAGTGTATGAAGATTATAGCATCTCTGATTCTAAAATGTCAATTCTAAGAGTCTCTCGTTTTTTTTTTAATTGTTGCTAATTTATTTTTATTTTTAAATTTTTTAAAAAGATTTTATTGGGGAATTTGGGGAGTGGAACAGTGTTGGGGAATTGGGGAAGGGGAACAGCAAAGTTGTCCTTCAGTATTAGTTGTGGAGGGCACAGCTAGCTCAGCTTCCAAGTCCAGTCGCCATCCGGCCGACTGTCAGCAGCTTGCGGTCACTCAGCTCAGAGTGCCGTGTTCAGTCTTAGTTGTGGGTGGTCAAATCAGAAACCTTGTGGTTAGGAGCACATGCTCTCACCAGCTGAGCCATCCTGCTGCCTGTTGACAGCTCAGCGGCAGCTCAGCTCAGGCGCAACTCACTGGCCCACGTGGGAATCAAACCGGCGGCCCTAGTTGCTCAGAGCTCGCACTCTTGAGCAAGCTCTTAACCAACTGAGCCATTTAGCCAGTCTGCTAATTTACTTTACTTACATGCAGTAAAATCCACTCTTCGGGGTATACATTTCTATGGGTCTTGACAAAGGCATCAAGTCATGTAACCACCACCACA